CTCTAAGTACAACAACGTTATCTTTCGTATGAAATTTACCCGATTCGGCTAAATGGATATATCTGATTTGTTAAGCAGATGATTTCAGCCTGTCCAAGGCTATCACGATCCTTGTATTAGACGTATATTATTGTTGTCGTTATAGTGAACGTTTGTCGTTCCACCTACATCCGCATGGTCACATATGAATTCAGGTGACTCGATAGAATCAACCAACACTCATACCCACATATGTATGACGAAACACTAAGTCACGGTCTCTTGTGTTTTGATAATTTGAATTTTTATGGATCGGTCCCTCCTCTTTGTTAACACCTGAAGCATTGTTTGTTCGCTCCATTATTGCCTATTGCTCCTCTGAAAATGCATTAAATGCTCTAGCGCCTGTAAGTGTATCTTACTCTACAAGTGAAATTATCGGAACTCTAAATGTTTAACCTCTTACTTGGTATCATTGTTTTGTTGTTCCGTGTTCTTTGCTTTTATCTTACTTTCTGTAGTTGTAGATAATTATCAATAACTCGCTCTGGCACTGGTAATAACCTTACAGAACAATGTTGATTAATCATCAGGCTATCCACTTAAGAAAAAATGATACATTCAGTGGTGTTGCATTGGCTTGCCATGATATATGCCATATATAAACTACTTATCAATTACTAGACCAGCAAACATAAAACTTTCTTATATTTCATGTTTGTTCTCTACATTAAATGTTGCTTTTTATATCAATCTGATCATGCCTGTAAACTGGTGTGAATTCTGTAAATATTATTTTCAGAACATATTATTATTATTGAGTAAAATCTATTCTCATGCAAACACGGAGGCTAGTGATTGAACAATCAGTCATACTTTATTTTGATTGTGCCCAGAATGTACGTCAACATTTTCAGCGCTTTCCTACAGTTCAATGCGTTTGTGGATGTTTTGTATCTGGATATGCTCAGGTTTATATAACTTGATGTTTTTGAATTCAGTAACTGAAACACCGATAAAAATGAAGATGCTATGGCGTCTCTAAAGAAGACTGTGGTTGTATGCTATACGCAATTACTCTCTTTTAACATCTCATAAACAAATCAATCATGCAGCTCACTGGCTGTCAAGATGATGGTATTTGACTTTCAAAATGAAAGAAATTGACATCCACCAATTGCAAGTGACTGTGTATTCTGTACAATAATTATTTCTTATAAGAGTCCTCATGTTGTGCATCCACCAATGCTTTCGTGATAAATACCAGCTTACATGTTGTGATCAAGCCCCTTTAAAGTAATTATGGGACTAATGCCAGTCCCAAGCTGGGATACAGGAGTAAGGTTGAGCATGTAGTTAGTTACGCTTTCGCGCAGAAATGAAACTGATAAAAAACGCCGACCAAAATACTATTTCAACCACTTGAATTCTCCCTTGGGAGCTGAAAGTAATTTGTTTAGAAGAGGCGAGACCGCACAATGTGGGAGACTGGGATGACCGTTAAAACAGCTGTGGAAATCAGGAGATACAATGGAAAGGTGCCTGGAATAAGTGAAACACACTGAATGCCAGCTAAATGAAAAAGTTCAGTATCAGGAGTGCCACTATTGTGTTCTAGTCGTGAAGACACCTAATACACACGATTAGTCGCACTGTTGCTGTCCATAGAAGTAAAAAACTGCCTAAAGAATTATCATCTCATGGATCTCATGGACAGAATGAATAGATAGATTAGAATAGTTCACCAATGCACAATGTGTTTGAAGTGTACTGATAGTTAATAATGTTGTTTCAAAAACAGTTACATCACGTTCCTCATTTTTTTACAACCTCATAATATCCCATTTAAAATAGACCCTAACAAACTGGATTCATTATCAATAATCTATGAAATATAGATATGTGAAAGTGGATTCACAAAATATAAACGGGACGATGTAATGAGATTATCGGTCGGAAGTTGCATATTTATCTACAAAAATAATGATCTTTTTATTATTTTTGATGATCGGGTCTGATTTTCAAATAACGGAAATCGCTTCATGTATCTTCTTAAGTCATATTTTTGCTGGTAATTTAACAAAGATTTTGAATAGAAGACAACCGAACATGCAATCAGTGAAAGATCATTCCGCTGTACATATGATGATGACTAACGCATCGTCTATGATGATCTAAAACATTTAACACAACTAATCAATTTATTCAGCAAGGAACATGATTAGCAAATGAAGACGAAGGAAAATTCCATCTTGTATATCTTGGAATTCAACGAGCTTTAGGAGTGATCTGTAGAAGTATGTCCATGTGAAAAGTGTGCAGAATGGTGTTTATCTGAAAAACAACAGCCTATATCAAATAGGCCTTAAAAGGAATGCCTGAAAGAAGAACGTGTATTCATGAAAGAATGTCCAGATGAATGTTCATATTCACAAACTTTGCCAATAATCACGCTAAGAAAAACAACGCAGTAAGTAAGATTAAGTTAAAAAAACAATTTTTTCCATACAAAAGTTTAGGACTAGATAGAACCACCGGATTGACTAGTTACAGAATAAATACTATCTTGAAAACTGACAGTGACAAGGTTAAGTTCCTAGTGTAAAACCAGCTGTTCTGCAAAACAAACGGAAATCGGAAAATACATTTTCCTCAATACAGTCTTTGCATTTGCCAATATACAAGTAATCTTAAGAGCACAACCACTTGCAGGGTAGAGGGGAAGGTAAATGTACGTATTTTCACCTACGTTCAAATGAATTTAAGATGAAAAATGCAGCAGTTCTAAATAATGAACTTTTTGTATCCGTCTTCAAACGAGTTAACACATGCTTGGTCGTATATATAGTTCTTGGCATAGACGTCTGATATTTCCAACCGAAAAAAAGAAATGCTAGCTATGGAACAAATCAAGTGTATATAAAGAACAAAATGGAAATCACACGTTAGGTAGTGTCTACAGATTTGAACAAGTTTGGGTCGGACGTCTTTCAAACTGTCGTTGAGATACTGGCGTTTGTTTCTGTAACGCTCGAATCAATTCCAGGTATTAGTGAGACGATTTTCTTTATATTATCGATGCCAGTGGCAACCAGATCATCAATGTCATTGGAAGGGCCAGCAATAACTGTAAAGTGAATAAACCAAAATAAAAATATAATGATTATCAGTAACGTAAAAGTGCATAAAAACTGAATCTAGAGCATAAACAAAAAAAAACAAAGTGTCGAATGAAACGACAACAGAAAATAAAATATAAAAACAGTCAAACTTCAAGTGAAAAGAGGAGAAACGTTTACGTTTAGCAGTATATATTTGCAAATTATATTTCATGATTGAGCGGAATTTACCACTATCAATTAGGATAAGACTCACCTGGATTCTGACATTCAAACGATACGACCAGTACAACTATGATGAGCTGAAATGAGAAGGCCGATCAGACAGAAAATATCACACAACAGAATTGTAACATACAGTGAGGAATCGCATTGTGGTTGTTCACTGTTGAAGTGAGTGTCGATTGCTCGTTGACTTGTTCGTTTGTTGACTGTATATATTGCATTGTTGTATTTATAATGGACGTCGGTCATTCCACGTACACACACGTGTTCACACTTAAGATTTGGTTGTTCAATTGAGTTGATCTGAACTCGTGTGTTGTGTGGCCAGTTGGCACACTTCACATTATTTAATCAACTCGATTTCGTCTATCACAGTGTCTTCATTGTTCAACCCGATTGAACAATGAATTACGGTTATCTGACTGTTTACAGTTTGTTGAATTGATTGTGTTCACATGTGACTTCGTTGTTTTGTGTTAAATGCCTCAACGGATATGTGCGAGGATTAGTGCTATGGTATGATATTTGTTGTGTAGATTTGGTTGTGAATTGCTTGATTTATTTCTATCGAGTGTTGTTTTGGATCATTAGCTCGGTGAATTATCTCGATGGGTGTAATTTTAGGAAGGTTGTGTTAATGAGTGATTCATGTGTAGTTCGTGTTACACTAGCAATATCTCGATTGATTATCATGCTCACAGATAACGTAACAATTCCGAAAACGTATTCATGAGTAAATTTGCGATATCTATAATAATGTCTCAGTGACTGTGTAGTGAAGTCGATAAATGGTGAAAATTGTCCAGCAAGGAAAACACGACAATTATTACATTAGACAAAACAAGAACATGTGGATGGTTTTCATTGAATAGTTTGAGGTTGGTATTGCGTGTGCACTGCGTATTTGTGTGCGAGTTTCGGAAATTTCCCAACCACGCATTGTTCGTGAGCACTAATCTGAGGTCAAGATTGACAGAGCTAAGCGTGAACAGACATAGTTGAATTTCCGAAAGCCGATAAAATTTATGTAATACAACCAAACGAAAATATAAAAAATAAATGTGACAACAATTTGATTATTAATTTCGTGTAAGCGATTAGTTGATGTAAAACGGTTGGTTAATGGAGTATGAATTCACACTGTCATGGATCTGTTTCATGTACAGTAACGAGTAGTTGTGATCGTCAAAACAAATTAGATCGAGCGGAAATTTTCATCAATTCACTGATGAAATATTATTTTTATCACACTCAATGAGACAACTTGGTCAGTTTGCGACAGAATTTCACAGGCACTGGTGTAATGTTCACAAGAATTGAGAAAGGTAAAGATGGCTTGTGTTACACAATATTATCATGTAGAATGCTAATCATCTTAACTGGAGAGATCTTTGAAGTAATTTGAAGAAAGAGTAAACATGATTATCTACATCAATGGTGAGAATAAATGCTTCGAAAATACAATGTAGTCAACAAACGAACAAGCTAACGAGCCAATATGCCAAAGAACGCACGAGTTCAGATCAACTCCATTGAACAACCAAATCTCAAGTGTGAACACGTGTGTGTACGTGGAATGACCGACGTCCATTATAAATACAACAATGCAATATATACAGTCAACAAACGAACAAGTCAACGAGCAATCGACACTCACTTCAACAGTGAACAACCACAATGCGATTCCTCACTGTATGTTACAATTCTGTTGTGTGATATTTTCTGTCTGATCGGCCTTCTCATTTCAGCTCATCATAGTTGTACTGGTCGTATCGTTTGAATGTCAAAATCCAGGTGAGTCTTATCTTACTCGATGGCGGTCGATTCCAATCAACCAGATTAAATGATGCCGATACATGTTTACTAGTTATTGGAATGCATATCGACCATTTTCATCAATATAATAAAATTTCGACTTTTGAAGTCGTTACTTGTAGGTTACAGTTTGTTTGTTTCCATCATTCCTGATATAATACGTGACATCGTGATGTTGTGTTATCTGGTTTATAGCTAATGGAGCTCCAGCACCAGGTGGAAGGTGTCCTTGCTGTTCCGGTGCATGCCCTCAATGTCCTCGTTGTTGTGGATGTCGTGGATGTCGTGATGGAGACTGTTGTGGAGGATGTTGTAGTAAACGGAGAAACAACAACAAAAACCGAGAAGCCTCAGGAGATGGTCAAGTCAAGATCTAAACGCATATGATATGTCATTTATTCCTCTACCAAATACATTTGATTATTCTGTAATTTCGAGTGTTTATTTGCTTGCTATACGTCGAATAATAAATGACTGTCCTTTGATCGACTTGTCGCGTTACTTAGCATTTTTAACCAGCAAGTTTGTCTGTGTCCGTGTAAACCAACTCCTTGTTCGTCGTATCTTGAGTGAAATCCATGTCGGTGTCTCCTAATCATTATATATGTGCACACTCATGCATCGTTCTGCCATACATGTTCTCACTGACAATCCAACTACTGTTTTTCTCACAGCAGTAGAAACACATTGATACCGTTTCGCATAAACTAGTCACCTTAATCATCTACTGAGAGCAAGAGTAGCCTTAAACGCTAACCTCACGAAACGAAACATACAAAAAACTATTAATTCATCTGCCTGCCAACATAGTTATTCGAGTATTTTTAACTCTCAATCACACTCTTATGTTACCTCATCCTTTGTTTGATCATGATAGTAGTGATAGTGATTCTTACGTTTGTTCAAATTACGACATTCCTTGTATAGTGTGAATGGGATTTTAGATGGGAATTGTGGGAAGATACAATCAACCAATTTACAAGAATTGAAATTCATTCCATTTCACAAGTAATGGGTATTTCGACTCATTGACTGAGTGTATAACGTGATGACACCTGAAACGAACGGTACTGGTTACGGGATACGGAGTGCACATCAACTCTGAGATGTCGATACATCCAGCTGAACAGTCCTAAATAAAATGAAGCGCACACCACGGACTCTATTGCCAGTCATCATTCATTTGCTTCAAATGCAACAGACGACAGAAATAACCAGAATAAATATTAGGTGCCATTTACCACCAATTTCTAACTTCAGATAGTTGGAAATCACGGTAAATATGAAACACAAAAGTGACTATACATTGACCAACTTACACTGACTGATCAACGTCTGTCACTTCTCGTCGAGTGGCATACGCAAAGCATGGACCGACACAACCTCGTATAAACCTACATGCAACTATTACATGAACATACAGAAGTACACATAAACATAAACTCAAATACACAAATTCGTTCGAACATACATATTCATATGTTAGAAAAGAGTACTATGACGAACGATAGTTTTCGGTTAATTCTTCAATAGGACACGACGATTGTTGCGTACCAATAAAACGTATGACCATCAGTTGTGTCAGGAACAGAAGTTTCTACTATCGGAAGTATGATTCCTAACGTCTACGGTACGAATATGGTCATTAATAAACAGCAAGATCGTTGCGCAGAGATGCAGTAGTGACACTTTGCATAGAAGTAGTGACAGGAAAGAGCTATCGAACTGGTGAGTAATGGGAGACTCACATCCTGTTATCCCCTTAGTGTCTCGGTTGGACCATATCTTACTCCTGTCAGAGGGCAATTTACCCTGGACGAACAAAGTTGGAGGAAGTAGTAGGAGGTATGCAATGTGGACCGATACATTGCTTCAAAACTGTATATCCACATAGTCGACAACATCGATTTATGCTGTTGTGAATCATGGTTCATTTGGCAACATTCAAGTTCACGTTTTAACCATCCAAATGATGTCTTTGTATCAATTTCATGCTTTACCTTATGTCATTCTCAATGCCCCTATCGCATTAACAGGTGAGAAAAAGGTGTTGTACGAAGACAATGTGAGTCATTTGCGTGGAAGTAAGAAGTACGGATGGGAACGATGTGCAATCACGATCTCTGTTAATAATCATTCTCCAGATTGATTTCTTGAAATCATCTTGTGTGAAATGAAAATCAATAATACGTGTACTTAGGTGATTGTGACGATTAGAAGTAATTTAATTGATGTACGAACCAGGAATTCCTGAAATAGTGCAATTCTCGGCAAAAAGAACTTGGTGAGCACAAATGAATGTGTTGGATTTAGAAGTCGAAATCAGGCAAATGTCAAATGCAACTGAATCAATGTAAATGTACGTATTTTCACCTACGTTCAAATGAATTTAAGATGAAAAATGCAGCAGTTCTAAATAATTAACTTTTTGTATCCGTCTTCAAACGAGTTAACACATGCTTGGTCGTATATATAGTACTTGGCATAGACGTCTGTGGAGATAGAACCTTAAAACCTATTTTGTAAATAATTTTTCATAGTTTTCGCATGTATTTTCATATTCTGTACATTAAGCATTAAACAATTGTACTTGTTGTTTAACTGTATTAATTTGAACGCTTGTAACACACCTTCCTTCCGTTGTGATTACAACATACCGTGCCACTGTTAATTCTCCTCAGCAAATACACTCTAATTCACATCTGCATCGTTCTGCCCTGTCTGCTAATATGTTGAATGAAATATTAATTGCATACCATCTACGTTTATAGACAATTGCGACATTCTTATTGGATTCTACGCTTGGTAAAATTACTGGATCTATATCGTCCATATTGGGATTAATAGTTTTGTTATAATTGTGGAGTATCTGGACCAAACCCAGCCAAACACGCAATAGCCTGAAGACTTAAGTAACGTCCCTTATTTTGTTATTTGTGTGTGTAATTACTTGTTAACTGTTAATTGTTACATAAACTATAGACATAATATTTTTGTTGCTAATTTTCTGCATATCAAACATTTTGGTCCACCACACGTCTGATATTTTCAACCGAAAAAAAGAAAGGCTAGCTATGGAACAAATCAAGTGTATATAAAGAACAAAATGTAAATCACACGTTAGGTAGTGTCTACAGATTTGAACAAGTTTGGGTCGGACGTCTTTCAAACTGTCGTTGAGATACTGGCGTTTGCTTCTGTAACACTCGAATCAATTCCCGGTATTAGTGAGACGATTTTCTTTATATTATCGATGCCATTGGCAACCAGATCATCAATGTCATTGGAAGGGCCAGCAATAACTGAAAAGTGAATAAACCAAAATAAAAACATGATGATTATCAGTAACGTAAAAGTGCATAAAAACTGAATCTAGAGCATAAACAAAAAAAAACAAAGTGTCGAATGAAACGACAACAGAAAATAAAATATAAAAACAGTCAAACTTCAAGTGAAAAGAGGAGAAACGTTTACGTTTAGCAGTATATATTTGCAAATTATATTTCATGATTGAGCGGAATTTACCACTATCAATTAGGATAAGACTCACCTGGATTCTGACATTCAAACGATACGACCAGTACAACTATGATGAGCTGAAATGAGAAGGCCGATCAGACAGAAAATATCACACAACAGAATTGTAACATACAGTGAGGAATCGCATTGTGGTTGTTCACTGTTGAAGTGAGTGTCGATTGCTCGTTGACTTGTTCGTTTGTTGACTGCATATATTGCATTGTTGTATTTATAATGGACGTCGGTCATTCCACGTACACACACGTGTTCACACTTAAGATTTGGTTGTTCAATTGAGTTGATCTGAACTCGTGTGTTGTGTGGCCAGTTGGCACACTTCACATTATTTAATCAACTCGATTTCGTCTATCACAGTGTCTTCATTGTTCAACCCGATTGAACAATGAATTACGGTTATCTGACTGTTTACAGTTTGTTGAATTGATTGTGTTCACATGTGACTTCGTTGTTTTGTGTTAAATGCCTCAACGGATATGTGCGAGGATTAGTGCTATGGTATGATATTTGTTGTGTAGATTTGGTTGTGAATTGCTTGATTTATTTCTATCGAGTGTTGTTTTGGATCATTAGCTCGGTGAATTATCTCGATGGGTGTAATTTTAGGAAGGTTGTGTTAATGAGTGATTCATGTGTAGTTCGTGTTACACTAGCAATATCTCGATTGATTATCATGCTCACAGATAACGTAACAATTCCGAAAACGTATTCATGAGTAAATTTGCGATATCTATAATAATGTCTCAGTGACTGTGTAGTGAAGTCGATAAATGGTGAAAATTGTCCAGCAAGGAAAACACGACAATTATTACATTAGACAAAACAAGAACATGTGGATGGTTTTCATTGAATAGTTTGAGGTTGGTATTGCGTGTGCACTGCGTATTTGTGTGCGAGTTTCGGGAATTTCCCAACCACTCATTGTTCGTGAGCACTAATCTGAGATCAAGATTGACAGAGCTAAGCGTGAACAGACATAGTTGAATTTCCGAAAGCCGATAAAATTTATGTAATACAACCAAACGAAAATATAAAAAATAAATGTGACAACAATTTGATTATTAATTTCGTGTAAGCGATTAGTTGATGTAAAACGGTTGGTTAATGGAGTATGAATTCACACTGTCATGGATCTGTTTCATGTACAGTAACGAGTAGTTTGTGACCATCACACATGGATGATCCATGACAAAAGACATCGGAGTGGCTTGTTAAGTATAGAGGGATTTTGTGTGCCGGTGTAAGATGCATTTTGAAGGTTTAGTGTGTGAAATTCCCTCCATGCATACGTTTGCAACTTATTCTTAATGGTTTTTTTACTTGTACATTATTGGCAATCTTTTTGATGCCATTTGAGATTGTAATGTTTCATTTCATTATTGTTTTCTCATTTTTTCTGTCGCTTTCACTGAGCTTCCATGTTTCTTCTTGAACTGTATCAATGTTGTTTTAATTGATATTTTATCTTGCTGGCAGCCTTGTTGATTGATTGTTCCCTCCTTGATTGTGTTGCGTGATTTGACTGATATCGAGCAACTTGTTCGTGAATTGGAGCACTTTCCCAGAATTGGAAACACTGTGTTATAAAGCAACAAACTATTATCTTTTGAACGAATTTTTACCTGATCTATCCAGAAAGGATAGAATAACACTTATTTTTCGGAGCGTTCGGTACTTTTCTTATATTTCTTATCAATTTGTCTATTTATTATAATTTAGATCGGTAATTGTGGGAACAATTATTGATTGAATAACTGAGTGGTAATATTTGTTTAGGTAAATTTGTACATTTGTATTTATGGTGAAATTTAGAACCGTTGTTACCCTAATCACCTTGTTC